GGTTCAGCCTCACAGCGTCGTGCATTGGTGTGTCTCCTTCCTAGAATCAGGAGAGATGAACCACAGTGTCAGTCCCACCAGTCCAACACCATGGTACGGACCCAACCATATAGCCAGGGCTTTTTACAGGCAAATGGAGGCAGCAGCTTCATGCTTCCCGAGAGCTGTCAGGTCAGAAGTTGTTGGTACTTACTCTGTCTCTGGCATTGAGATCCGCTTCACAGGCGATGAGGTGCTCCCCACAGTCGTACTGACCTGTTCTCACAGCCACGTGCAAAGGGGTGCTGAGCAGCTGAGAGGTGGGAGGAGCAAGCAGTCAGTGACATGGAACAGGTAAAAACTGCTTGAAGAACAGCTACCAAATGTTATCTACTTGGGGTAAGGGTCAGCTTTTCTTCTAAAGAGCTGCTGCATCTGAGAAGCATGTACCTTGTCTCTAGCATTTCTGTTTATCCCTTTGTCCAGTAAGAATTTCAGAATATCCAGGTTCCCTCCCCGGCATGCCCAGTGAAGGGCTGTAGATTCAAGCTGCAGCAGGAAAAAGAAGTGGAAGTTAATTTAATTCATCATTATATTAAAAGCAAACCATTTTGATCAAATTTATAAATTAATCCAAAATAATTTCCATGCAATTCAACCTAAAGCACTTCACTGTGATCACTGAGTTCTTTCTAGTAACAGCTTTCTTATTTTGCCCTAATTCATTTAGTACTGTGAGCTTCTCACTCTTTGTGCTTGCTGCATATTGCTCTTAAAGACAGGGATCTTGGCAGTCCTACTGTGAGAGAGGATGTATTTTTTCTGTTCTGTGAACTTAGAAGTTACCTTAAGCCAGATTTTTTTCTGGCTGGTATGTGCTAGTTAGTATTTTTTTATTCAATGCCTTTTGGGTTCTAAAATGCATAGAAAATTAAGGGAAAGGAAAGGAACTTAGCTGATCCACAAAGTGAATCAGAACCCTTCTCCCCTACAGAATTCAACATCTCTGCCCTCAGCTCTGTGGGGAGGAGTGGAATGTCTCTTGAAGGTCCTGCTCTGCAAGTCATTCCTCCTGTTCCTTACGCTCTCCACAAACAGTGCTGGGTTAAGGGAGGGGGAGCAAGGCTTGCTTGTTCCAACTGCTTGCCAAAGGGAAGAAGAGCTGGGAGCAGCAAAAAAACAGCTGCAGAAGTTGTTGATACCCAGCTACCCTCATGGCCAGTGTCCCAGGGGAGCAGGGTCTCTTCTGGGAGCTGCCTTGAAATCCTGGTGGAGAATGCATGCATTGTGCTGAGCCCTGGACACACGCGTGGGACAGTGGTATCTCCACCACCTGCTAGCAGGCTGAAGTGATAGCCTGACCTCAGCTCTCTGCCTTAGGCTTTGTTGTTTGTGGCAGCCTGCTGGCCAGTGTGTCCCTCCGCTTCCTGTGTTTTCCAACAACAGCTTTGGCAAAGGGAGGCAGACACCCCCTCCTGAAGCATCTTCTCAGCAGTGTTATTTTAAGGATAACCTTACAAAATGCTATAAAGCCTTTTAACGCTCCTCTTCTAAAAGAAGCACTTCTGTAACTTTTGGCACTTTACAAAACGATACACAAGTTTTTTGAAAGAAGCATAAGTTGATCTGCATACCATGTCTTTTTGTTCAAGCCGGGCTCCAGCTTCCACCAACTTTTTCACCACTTCTAGATGTCCTTCAGAGCATGCCCTGTGCAATGCAGTGCGTTTGTACTGGCAATTAAAACAATGCAAAGCCAAATATTAAATACGGCACAAGGAAATATCTTTAAAGCTTTTCTCCCCTTCTTCCAAAAATGATGGCAAATACATACTTTATGCTGGTGTGTTTTCAAAGCTAATACTTTTGATACCTGAAATCTGCTAAATGTTATTAGCATTGTGATACTGTGAACTGCCTACCCAGTATTTTAAAGGGTGTAAGGAATATCTGCATTATGGCATTCCAATTTGAAATTATGCCTGTTGAGTTCACCCATCCAACATGCCTTTTGCGAATGCAGCTTATACATTATGGAGCAGGAGAGCAGGCAGCATCACTTTCTTTATGTTCTGCAGACAAATTTCTAGTCTGCTCATCTGTAGCATTGAAAGACTACCTGCTTCAGAAAATCAGGATCTCCTGATTACCAACAGCTTTCTTTTAAATATAAAGATTCTTTTGAGTTAATATGACTTTGAAAGGTCCCAATGGCCCCATCATCACTAGAAAACTTGATGTAGAAAACTTCCAGCATTTATTTACTACCTCTACCCTTTTTTCTCCTCAAAGTGTGGAAGCTGGAAAAACTAGTGGTAGAAGTTACTTTGCTGTGAAATAGCCTCTCTTTTGTAGCAAGCAAGCTTTGCAGTAAGAAGGAAGATTGTACCTCATCACAGACATTTGGATCTCCTTTGTCTGACAGGTATTTTTCAATTACTGGCAACTTATTCTCCAGTGCAGCTCTAAAGAATGTAGGTATATCCACTGGTCCTGTCTGGTGGAAATAAATATTCAGAGCATGAATGCATGTGGTGTAAAACTCCATCAATGTTTTCCCAGAATAAGTACTTTACTTTAAAATGACTTACAATAACTTCTGGTTCAGGCTCCTTTGAAATGGGTGCTTTCACTTTCTTGCATTTTTTCTTCTTCTTCAGCTGAATAATTTTTTCAAGATCCTCCAAGTTTTCAAGTTTTGACCTCTCCTCTAATTTCTTCTTCTTCAGCTAAAACAAATCAGGGATGACACCAGGTTGAGCTGAGTGTGACCACCTCTCAGAGTGGCAGGACAGTGTGTGCTACTGTTAATCTGAATTCATTTAAGAATGGATGATCTTTGAAATAAGTTGTCTTTTTTTTTACCTTTTTTACTGCAGTCACATCTGACTTAACAATTTAAGAAATGTCATGTGCAGCTTATGAGAGCTGGGAAACCCCTGCAGTTTCATCTGACTTCCACCAAGTATTTTTTCTTCAACCCCTTTTATGATGCAGCCCCCGATTTATTGCAACTTAATCCTCTTTGATAAAAAATATACCCTTGAGAGAAAAGTAACATTCATACCTATCTTAACATTTCAGTTAGCAAGTGTTACATTTTGGTAAGCTACAAAGAATGTCCCCAATATCCTTGGAGAGGCAGTTCAATAAATGTTCAAGATTTCCTGAAGTCTGCTTGTAAAAAACATCCCTGCATGAAGTCATTATGGGGCACTGCTAACATCAAGGTGAATCATAGAATGGTTTTGTTTAAGATCATCAAGTCCAACTGGTAACCTAGCCCTGTCAAATGTGTTGTCTGAACTGAGATCCAAGGTACCATGAGGTGTCCTTGACTTCAGAAGGGGGATGCACAAACAAGGGGTAACTCAGGACAAATGAAGAGGACAGATTCTGTCTCATGGTATCATTAAGGGTAAATTCATTGGCAGGACCCTGTCATATGGTACACATTTTTTCCAACTGAATTCTTGTTCAAGTTATTTCCACCTCTTATTTTTATTGTTCTCTGGATTTAGTGTTTAATCTGTAGATCTTTGACTTGATGGAAAATAATTACAGTGACTGATTGGACTCTGGATCAGCTGGAAAACCAAAAAGTTCCATATTCTGGAGGAACACAAAAACATTCTGTAGCAAGAAATGACCTCTTTGTTGAAGGTGAAGGTCAGTAGTGTTTATTTTAGTATTTCTGAGGCTCACTGTCCCATCAGAACAAAATCTTACACTCCCTTCTAGTTAAATTTCTTCAAACTCAAATAACTTGAATTTTTTAGGCCAATTGGTTGCTTATTCACCAAAGAATTTAATATATTACAGCTACTGTATTTGTGGGGGAAAAAAGCATCAGTTCTTAGGGATACAGGGAGAATTGTCATGCTCCAGGAATAAAAAATGGTATTTTTCTGTAGACCAGTATGACTTTTATTTGTAATTATTTTTCCCAAATGTACTGATTAGCATAACACATAGAATAAAAATAACTTCATGGTAGATAAGGCTTTTGGCTTCAGAAATGCACTCTTACACATTTCTTGGGTTAGTTATTTTTGGCAGCACTCATTAGATGTGCAAGCTGAAGGCATCTTACTGGCTTTGGTTGCTCCCTCTTTACTGACAGCTGGAAACAGTGACTGTGGGCAGGAGAGAGCTCACAGGGTGTCAGTAAGACATTATAGGGGGAGTTTTGGATTCTGCTTCACAGTGTTACTGCCTGCAGCCATAGCTTACAGGACTCAGCAGGTCTCCATGGCCTTCAATGGACTTTAAGCCAACCTCCTTTGGTGGTGATCTCCCAGGGGTTTATTCAGCTCACCACATGTATCTCTACCTTAGAAAGAAGCAAACCTTCAGGGGCTGCAGCAAAAAGTGCACACAGGGTGCTAAAAAACCAAGCATAAACCCCAAGAGCCTACCTCTGCTTCTAATTTTTTCTTCTTCTCATAAGCCAGATCATCTTGGTTCAGTGAGTGTACAGAGACTGTCTTTAGGTCATCCTGCTTCTCTAATCTTACAGCAGCTTCATACTCTCCATTTCTGAAGTCCTCAGGGAGGAAGCTGCCAGTCTCTTTATCGTCCGCTTTCTTCCCAGTCACCTGTAAAAGCAAGTGTGATATAATATAAGCAGCAGTTTCATGACAGCAATAGCCACCTCCAGGGAACACGGATTACCTAGAGACTAACTGCATGTCATTCCTGACCTGCTGTAGAGGGTGTAACAGACAAAGTGCAGACCTCATTCAGCCTGTGCCTGAATTAACTGTGCACTTGAATGGCTAGAGCATCCTCCCTTGCAGGTAGATCTCCCACATCCACCCAGCAACTCCCCGTGGGTGTCCGTGAGGACTTAGTCCCTGCTTGGCTGGGGCTGAGGTGCTGCTGTTCTAGCAAAACGCAAAGAGTTGGGAAGAGCATCCTTTATTTTCAGGGTTTTCTTCTTTGTTCACTCACAGGTGTCAGACTCAGCAGAAGACTGTGGCAGAAAGAGCCACCCTGACCAGCCTCCAGCATCTTGCATGTTTTGGGCTGGGGGGACTGAGCAGGTAGAGGGCAGGAGAGGCTTCCTCCCTTGGGACCTTATAGTTTTATTGAAGCACATCTGTTAAATTGTCTTGCTGAGTAATTTCAAGGCTGGTTATGCCTGTTGCTGTCAGTACCAAAGTCTGCATTTAAAGCACTCAGCAAAATAGCAGAAGGCAGTGCCTCTGCAGAAGCTACCAGAAGCTTTCAGTAGCTTTTGGAAATATTTCTGATGCCCGATTAAGTGTGTACAAAGAGATAACTTGTTAAACTTAGTAGAGGTTGTTGCGTATTTTGAGAATGGTTCAGTAAATTAATGTGTTCTGGACTGGCCTTTCATTCAATCACCTTATAAAATTGGATTTGTTATAGAATTTAATGCTAGAGAAGCTGTCAGGGCCTTGCCAAAAATTTAAGGCATCATTAACTAGTTAGGCTGTATGGCATTTGCATCTTCACATAGCCATCTGGGAGGAAAAAAAACCCAAGCAGTTTCTATATAACATTCCAACATTTTACTGGATTGTTCCTGTTTCCTCAGTTTATTGATTAAATCAGGCATCCTTAGTCCAAGCCCTCCAGTGGAATGTCCCATTATTTGTGGCCTGGTTTAGACATTATTTTTCAAAGCAGCTACCGTGGTGATGGATGGGATATACACAAATATTTTTCATGAAGAGCAGTGGGTGTGGGAACTGATAGTTTATTATTAGAAAATAATCTATCTATTATTAAACTGTTCCTTTAGCATTAGAAAATACTCTGGTTTTACTTCATTTATATGTCCTCTTAGTACTTTACTTAGTACTGGGTTGAAGTTACTCAGTGTGATCATAAACTTAATAGCTTCTAAAAAATAAAAATTAAAATCAAGGTTAAGGAAAATACATAGCTACATTTTGGTCAGCTTCTTCTTACTGGGGAACTATTTCTCATGCAAAATGCAAACAGCTGTGTAGCTGAATCAGTGGTGAGCCCCCTTCCGAAGGAAAAGTTAAAGTGAGAATATAGTAGGATACCCTATAGTATATGCAGGTTTTCACCATGAGTGCAGCAGTGCTGGTTAACCTGCCAGGTCACCTCTGTGATCCACAAAGGAAAGGCTGTGTCTCTGACTGATATAATGACAGTCTAGAAAGAAAAGTAATTAGGACTAAATGAAAGAAGGTTGTTCTTACCAGCTCTTCTACTTTCATCGTCATCATATTTGCCAGCATTTGAAGCTTGTACTCCTGTGTAGCTGAAACTCCCAAGTGCTCAGGCCAGCTCTGCTGGGACCACCACTCAAGCTTTGCTTATATATCTTTGGGAGAACTGTGCTTGAATGAGATAATCTTCCAACCTGGGAATCCGAGCACAGCCCTTGGGCTTGCCAGCGGAGAGGTAGGCTCGCGCTCATTCCAGACATGTTAACGAGCCAGATCTGGTGTCAAGGCAGGGAGGGGGCGTCAGTTGGGCGAGGAGGGGTGAGCCTCACAGTCTGACCACACCGAGTATGTGAATCAGATGTAATGTGAGCTCGTCATTCCTTTGGCAATGACTGCATGGCTCAGCAATGCCAGCCATTCTGTGTCCATAGTGCCCACTAGAACAGCTGTCTGTTGATGTAGTGTTATAACTTCATCTTCTCTTTTTTTTTTCCTCTTTTTTTTTTTTTTTTCCTCTTTTTTTTTTTTTTTTCCTCTTTTTTTTTTTTTTTTCCTCTTTTTTTTTTTTTTTTCCTCTTTTTTTTTTTTTTTTCCTCTTTTTTTTTTTTTTTTCCTCTTTTTTTTTTTTTTTTCCTCTTTTTTTTTTTTTTTTCCTCTTTTTTTTTTTTTTTTCCTCTTTTTTTTTTTTTTTTCCTCTTTTTTTTTTTTTTTTCCTCTTTTTTTTTTTTTTTTCCTCTTTTTTTTTTTTTTTTCCTCTTTTTTTTTTTTTTTTCAAACTGATATTCAGATGACTGTAAGAGACTGCAAAGGGTAAGTGGCCTATGTACAATACTTGTAGTAATATCCTCCTGATAAATTGATTATGACCCTTTAAGTCTCAGAAAGCCATTCTTTTCATTGCTATTTATTCTCGGATGATAAACAGTGTTAGGGGAAAGGATTTTTCTCATCATGATAGCAGTCTTCTATATTTGTTGGAAGGAAATTTCTGAAGGGATTACTAAGCCAGAATGATGTCTCTGGTTCTAAATGGGCCTATGACATAATAAGTTACAATCAGTGTAAGATCTCAAAACAGAAAGCTTTGCATTTTTCTGGGACTTTGTCAGTGTTCATAAGCAGAATAATAAATTATGTCCTATTATGCACCCCAAAAAATAGAAGTAATACTGCTTTCTCAGGCAATATTTTCCTTTTGGATATGAGAGAATAGCGGAACAGAAGCAATTTGTTAGTTTTTGGAGATAAGATGGGATACAGACAAATATATACAGATGATATGTGTATTATGTGGAAAAGGAGTTATTGAGTCCCTTGGAAAAGCTTTTCGTGTTCCATGAATCAGAGTAGCCTGGAAGCAGGAGAATTAACACCATCAGAAAGCAATTTTAGAAAAGGAAGATGTACTAATCTTTGCATTTAAGGAGTGTGGATAAATGCCAATAAAAATCAGTTCTGTCATTCTGTGATGCTTGGAGCTCCTGCCTATTGAGGCATATGTCTGGCTGTAGGCAGCCAGGTCACCTGGCTGAAATGAATACAACTGCTCAGGTGCTTCAAGTACGATATGTACATAAACTCTTCACCAAATCAAGACCTAACTATCTTGGGTGTTGTTTATATCATTAGCATCACTAGCATGCTGCGCTCCTGACACTGACCTTTCAAGGTGTCTTTCCTCTGAACTATCCCCCAGTAATCTGAGTATATCCAAACTTGTCTTCTAGTGCCCATCATACCTATGCCCTCCCTTTCCCTGAAATTAAGCTGGGCATCAGGTGGTTTCTTTACAACTCAGAATATATATGACATTAGAGGATGAGCCCCAGAACTAAAATAGAGTATGTGGCAGCAAGGGAACCTTTCAGAACATTTTTTTCCAAACCTAAGTACAGCCAGGATATCATTCCCCCAGAGTGCTATGTCCTGAATCACACTGCCAGGCTTTTTTTCACAGCAATTTTGTCCTCATGCTGTATTTCTCTGTGGTAAGAGGCAGCTTGGTGTGGCTTTTTCTTGTTTGCATATATACTGTAACAGCTTATCTTAGCCTGTCTCATTATGTAACACTTATTTGAGAGATTTTCTTGAGGTCACCAGCCCTAACAGGATGGCTGCAAAGACCACTGCTGGTTTAGTGGAAACAGATCACAGTAGAGACATGATGCAGGAAACATAGTGGTTTGCTTTAAGAACAAAAACTGTTTAAGAAGCTGTGGACCACCTCTGGCCCCACTGTATTTGAATCTTAATTTTCTGTTTGGTTTTGGTTTTTTTTTCTTCCCTTTCTTTTAACAGACTGATATATAAAACTGTCTCTGCAAAACCTAAAGTGGAAGGTTTCTGTGAATAGGTCTTCCTCTGCAAATTGTATGTAAATCTAGAGACAGCGTAGCTTTACAGTAAACCTCAGTACTCTGAGAGGAAACACAAACCAAAGGTTTACATCATGAGTGCTAGCAAAAAACCCCAGCTTATTTAGAGATAATTCAGTAATTATCTTTAAAGTATCCTCTCCTTGATGACTAAAAGAATAGTAAATAACAGAAAATACTCTTCCTTGATTATCCCGAGTTTTTGTGTGGAAGGGTGGCACACAGAAACCCACTTTAACCAAAGGCTGGAATCTAAATTAACCTAACGGTAAATGCTCTTAAGCTAAATGTCATGTAAACCAAGGTAACCCCATTGAAATAGCAGAAATGCACTGATTCATATCAGCTAAGACTCTCAGCCGGATGCTTATGGCCATTGCTTAATATTGGAGGGGGAAGTAATATAAAAGCTTGCAACCTTGTGTTGGACTGTAACCACTTAATCACCTTTCAACAAGTGATTTCTCATCAGGGTGGTAACAGCAGATGGTCTGTAGGAGATGTGTAACGGGAATCTGAAAACCTCTTACCACTCTGCTAAAGGATAAGGGCAGAGCAATGATCTGCAAGGTGTAAGGCAATCAGATATTGTCACCAAAAAACTCCTCAGATTAAAACACAAAAAGGCAGTAGGGCCAGCATGACAGAAAAAAACCTCTATGGCACACCATGTCCCCAGTATCAAAAGAGCTGTCTGACTGTTGTAAAGAATTTTTTTAACTAATTTTTTAAACGGGTTAATGGTAGCATGAAAGCATTACGTGTGATTCAGATGATATTGCCACCTCCTGTCAAGTGTATTACCATCATGCTTTCAGTGCCGTCACTGCTGTACTTGGCTATCTTACATTTTCCAGCACTGTGTCCTTGGCTCTGTCCTTGCCTCTGAAGATGTTGCCCTTTGGAATGCCTTTGTGCCTGCCTGTCTCTGTTCATCTCCTGCTGCAAGATAAGTGAAGGTATGAAAAAAAAACAGTTGCTGGGGAGCAGTTATGCACCTAAGAGGGTATTAATCCAGCAAACTATGTTCTGTGTGTGTGCAATCAAGGATAAAATCATACCCAAGGTACATGTAAGAAGCAGTAACCCTTAGCTTACTGTTCCTGGATTAGTGATCTCTTAGTGTGTAATGGCAGGAAACATTTTTATTTGTCTAACATGTGCTTTTTGATATTTATTGTTACAAAGCAATTTGGGTATGAGTTAACTATAATATGCAAATTATACCACTCATGTTCTAACTTTTTCAATATAGTGATAAATATGTCTGTCTGGTTTTTTTTTTCTAAAGTGATCAGGGAATTGCCACATTTAAAACAACTTTGAGACTTTCATCAATGTATATTTTTGTGTATGAACCTGTTAAAGAGAAACACTTTGTCTCCCTAGGAAAAATAACCCAAAACTATTTCACGGAGGAATATAAGGTTAGTTTTAAGTACAAAATTAGAATATGAGAAGTTATTAAATTAAAGAATGAGGATATTATTCCTTTTCTTCAGATCACTTGTTATCGAAGAAACAGAGAAGACATAGTCTGGCAGGTTGCTTGTCTGGCCAGCACAGTCCTCTGGTGTCAAAATCCAAACCAGCTATGAGTCAATAGTTGCATCACTTACTGTAGGGCTTAAAAAAAACTCCTTGAATGACATTAGGGTTGGAGATTTCACACAATAGAAAAAAAAATACTGTGATTTCTGTTTAAAAACAGGGGATTTATATTTATCTGAAGCCTTGAGTTTATCATTATCACATTTGTACAATACATGAATCTGGCTAATTCACCTTAATGGGGTCTTAGTTAATAAGTGCAGCAAACACAGCAGAAGGGTTGTTATCTATGGTCAAATGGGTTTGTCAAAGGGGTCCTGCTGCTCCAGCATCCTGTGCCAATACTCTGTTCTGCATTTTTGTGTGGCCAAGGAAGTACAAGATTCCCTCAGCTGCTTCAAAAAGGCTTTTCTGTATCAATATGAAATTGACTAAAAGGTTTCTGCCATTCATAAATACTCCAGAACAACTCCAAGTTTGTGAGGAAAGAAAAAGTGCTTAAAGAACTGCAGCAGAAGTTATTGTTACAGTGACAGCTTGCCTCCAGTGCTTTTGACTGGCAGCAAGGGTGAATTCACCTTCACTCTTGAGAAGCCATGACATTTTTAAACTTTATTTTTAATTTCACATTATCTAACTTAAAGCCTCCAGTTATTTACTGAGTTTTGCTATATCTGTATCTGAAAGCTCCTAAGTGCTCCCTCTCATCGCAGTCTTTCTGCTGTGTAAATATAAGAGGATGCTATAGCTTTTAATGATACAAACATCCCTCTGAAATGTTGCATATCATGCACAGGATTTTTCCTTGTTTATGCAGGAAAAAAAACCCAACAACAAACAACAGTTCCTAAATCCTTTTCTCTGCTTGCATAGCAAAAGTAGTGATTCCTGAATTGCTCTCCAGGCAGAATCAACCAAATTACAGTAATAACATGGGATAGTAGGGAAGATATTAGGGAGGTCATCTAATCCAAGAGAAAACTGAATTCAGGTGAGTTTTCTTAGGACTTCATTTCAGATCTTGAAAAACCTCCAAGAACTGAGGTTTCACAACATCCCTGGCCATGCTTTTCCAATGCCTGAGTAACCTCATAGAGATTTTTTTTCCTTATATACAGTTGAAACTTTCCCTGTTTCACATTATTATCAGGGTCTCTCATTGTC